AATTCGTTTGGAATAAATTTACCTATTAGAATGATTCGTAAAACAGATTCTTCTTTCACATTTAGAGAAAGACTTAGTGATGACTATAAAGATGATATACTATATATACAAGTTTTGTATGTAGAATTAATGTACATAGTTTAATAAATTAACGTGTACATAGCTGAACAAGCTATTTTGTAGTTGCAATTATTATAATATAATTTGTTTGTCCATGCTCATAATTTCTGCATATAAAACTTGTATAGTTGGTATTATTATGTCTTTTTTCTCTAGGTGTAAATATATTCTGTTTAATTTAAGTTGAAAATAGTTTCTTCTGCATTGTCTGTTTTACACATAAATCGGATTGTTTCACCATTTAATTGCTGTAAAGGTACTAAATAAAACAATGCGGTGGGCAGCACTTTAATGGACGTCTCGAATGAGTCTTGTAACGTGCCTATAAATATTCAGTTCTACGTAAGCTGCTTTGAGCGGATGGCTTTTCTTCGATATTGTGTAAGTTCCATTTTATAAAGCAAGTTCATACCATTGATTGCATTTAGATATATTTTTTTATATAACACATTAATTTTTTATTAAAGCCTTAAGATAAGAATTATTTAGTATTTTAGAGAAGAAGAATTGTCGAGAAAAAGAATTAAGGGGTTGTGAGGGTTAAAATTACTTTTACCTGAGCTTTAGCGCCTCTGGGGCAGTAATTTGACCTCTGAAAGAGAAATCAGTATTCTCTGATGGGCTGCGTGTTTGAACTTCATAGGTGGGTTTGATTTTTCCCGTGTAGCTTCTCTGTCCCTCAGAGGCGCTTTCGATGGATTATTCGTTTAATGGCCGGCTAAATATTGACTTTCGGTTATTCGGTTTGCGTGTGACCTGGCTGTCGACGCGTTTCACTGTACGTAATCCTGTCTAACTAGGTGGAATAGATATACCTGTGGTCGTGGATACGAATTTTCTAACAGAGACGCGGTTAAGCTGTAGTTTACAAACGTGCAGTCTATTTGAAGGTGGTCATAGCAATGACAAATATCATTTTGAATTTGTTCGAATCGAAAGTAAACAATGCACAAATATGAAAAAGATTATGCAAAGGGATTGCGTTAAATTGGGCAGAGAATAATAGGTTTGGGTTTTCTCTTTAAGAATAAATTAAAAATTAAAAGAAATTGTGAATTATATATTCGAGATTTTTACGCATCCGAAAGCGTATTTTATCTCTCGATAACAAATGTCCATAATTTTAAGAGAATATATGCTAAAATTATATTATTATATTTTTACAAAATATAGAAATTCTTTAAAAAAGAAATTGAAAATTTTCTAGACTTAGAGGATACATTGAGTTTAGCAGTTGTGGATAAATCTCACACTGAGAAAAATATCTGGTTACATTAATTGAAAATAATTGGTTGAAAAAGAACGAATCGGAATTTTTTGGTTAAATTTACTAGAATTTTAGTTGAGATAACCGGAATTCTAATTGATATAATCAGAATTTTCAGAATCTGGTGGTATAATCTCGTTTCTGGAACCTCGTTTGTCCAGTTGGTTTTAATCAGAGATTTTCCTCGGCGCAGATAGTTTCAGATAGAAGTGAGACGTTGACGAAGGTTAAAGTGATTCGACCGACGCGTTCCTCGCACCATGCGCTTACGAGCGAAAGAGCGCGATTAACGGGCAGAGTCGAAGCAGCATTATAACGAGCGTCGCGACGTCCGCTTCGTTTTCAAAGGTAACGTCCGCCCCTCTCGTCAGATGGCCGGTACGCGGCGGCTTGGTCAAATAAAACCGACGTGTTTTTAATGATCCGCGAACAAATACGCGTGCATTCCGGGTATACGTTCGCGGATGGCGATGGCGTATGTCGCATGCGTGCATTCGTGCGTTGTGTCGAACGGTTCCGGCGGTCATAGAGGCGCCGCGCCGCGCCTAGGGATCCGAGGGAGCAAAAATATATCCGAGCGGCTGTGTGTGAGGTCAAATTCATGGCTCATGCAAAAATCACTGCCTCTCCGATAGTCGTACTTGGGAATGTGTGCGTGTTTGCGGACGTTTGATAATTAAAGTCGACCGGTTTTTCACGATTTATACACGCCGGCGATTCAATAATTTCTGCTCTTTTTTCGATATGCACATGCGCGCATCGCTACGTTTTGCACATATTGCGAGTGAATTACGATTACTTTTATTATCTAAAGAGACCGTGTTATTTGCGAGTTTACAGAAAGGAAATTATAATCTTGAACA